CGGTTCCCCCACCCAGGGCAGCGTTTCGTAGCCCCATAGGGAGCTCCACCGAAGGCCCCAGTGGGGGTGTCCACATGCGGTTTCCCCCACCCAGGGCAGCGTTTCGTGGCCCCAGAGGGAGCTCCACCGAAGGCCCACAAGTGGGGGTGTCCACATGCGGTTCCCCCACCCAGGGCAGCGTTTCGTAGCCCCAGAGGGAACTCCCCCGCAGGCCCCAGTGGGGGTGTCCACATGCGGTTCCCCCACCCAGGGCAGCGTTTCGTAGCCCCATAGGGAGCTCCACCGAAGGCCCCAGTGGGGGTGTCCGCATGCGGTTCCCCCACCCAGGGCAGCGTTTCGTAGCCCCATAGGGAGCTCCACCGAAGGCCCCAGTGGGGGTGTCCGCATGCGGTTCCCCCACCCAGGGCAGCGTTTCGTGGCCCCACAGGGAGCTCCACCGAAGGCCCCAGTGGGGCTGCCTGCATGCGGTTCCCCCACCCAGGGCAGCGTTTCGTAGCCCCAGAGGGAGCTCCACCGAAGGCCCCAGTGGGGGTGTTCGCATGCGTCTCCACTACCCAGAGGTAGCGCCGCCGAAAACGATATTCACACTTGCGGTATTCACAGTTGCATATGGTTGGGTCCTTCGCCAGGCTAATTTTGTTTTGTTCCCTACTATGTTTGAGAATATTTGAGTTTGTTCCCTACCTAGGCTCTGCCTAGAAGGGTTCTTCCTGTCTTGGCTTAAAGGGGCCGGGCAGTGCAACTCGCCCCGGGCGGTTCCCCCAGGATCCGCCCCGCGGTTCCCCCAGTTACCTCAGCTTAGCGTTGCTTATCTCATCTTGGCGACTCGTTTCATTTTAGCTTAGCTTAGCTTCATCTTAGTTCAGGTTTATCTTAACTTAGCTTACCTTCATCTTAGCTTCGCTGAGCTTTAGCATAGCAGAGCACAGCATAGCATTGCATAGCGTAGCACAGCATAGCGCAGCACAGCATATCATAGCATAGCCCAGCATGGCATAGCGCAGCATAGCATAGCATAGCATAGCATAGCGCAGCACAGCATAGCACAGCGCAACATAGCATAGCATAGCATAGCTTAGCATCGCATAGCATAGCATAGCTTAGCACAGCACAGCGCAGCATGACATAGCATAGCACAACATAGCATAGCATAGCATAGCGTATCATAGTATAGCGCAGCACAGCATATCATAGCATAGCATAGCATAGCGCAGCATAGCATGGCATAGCGTAGCGTAGCATAGCATAGCAACTAATGCTGCTTTCCTAGGGGCTCCAACTTCTAGGTAGGGTCGCACTGGGGTAATTATGTTGTGATTTGTTCGATAGTTACGCGGTCCCCGGAAGTCTCGACCCATTCCCCGGGACCGGTTTTTCGTCCTCAATCGTTGTTTGACGGTCCTGGGACCCGGCGAGAGCCCCCCGAGGCCGAAAACAGCACAAAAAACCTCCGTCTTCATTTTTTCCATACGTTGGATCTCTGGGCCCCATAGATACGGTGGGGGCATTGGTCGAGGAGTGCGCCCAGGACGCCGCAGACCCTGGGAGGATTCCTCACCTGATGAGGTCGGCAGCCGTATGCATTGCCAATCCCCGAGTGGTGTCCCACCAGCTTCCAGACACCGCGCTGCTCCCGAGGGGAGGAGGAGGAGGAGGAGGAGGAGGAGGAGGAGGAGGAAGAGGAGGAGGAGAAGGAGGAGAAGAAAAATATTGATTCCTGATCCAATGGTCCCGAGCTGGGCCCAGAGTTCATCTGCATGCGCGGGCCCTTCTGGGCCCCTGAAGCGTAAACTGTGCCCTCGCCGTAACGTCGGGGAACCGGCGACGACATCGACACCAGCACTCGGCCGCGAGCGCCCCGCGGTCAGTTCCCGCGCGCGGCCGCCCTCGTCGCCACGCGGTGTGCCGCGCCGGGCTGCCCACGCAGGCCGCGGGTGCTCGTGGCCGCAGGTGCCTTCGGGCGCTGCACCGACCCAGTGCAAGCAGAGCTTGCCTCTTGCTGGCGAGCCTGTGAGGCTCCCAGACGTGATCGCATCGTTAAAAAACAAGCAGGGCGGGAGGTTTTGGGCCGTTTTCGGCCTCGGGGGGCCCTCGCCGGGCCTCGGGAGCGTCAAGAAACGACTCGGGACGACAAACCGGCCCCGGGAAAAGGGTCAAGACTTCAGGGACCTCGTTGTGAAAAAATCGGGACGACGCATGTCTGGGTTGAGAAGACCTCGATTGCGATGGTGGCGCACATCGGTGCTCGAGGCAGAGAGGGAGGCGTACTTGCTACGGAGAAAATCTCGCTTTGAAAGCCCGCGCCTCGCAGGGGGAACAGATAATGGCAGAAGCGTAAAAGCTCGGAGGTCCGCGCGGACTTCTCGGACCCGCGCTGGAGCCCCCTCCCTGGCTCGCGGAGCGCGGCGGCGGCGGAGGCGACGCAAGGGGGCTCCAACGCCGATCCAAGAAGTCCGCGTGGGCCTCCTTGTTCGTACATTTACCCATACGACCACCCTTCGGGTGATAAGGAGGTTCGAGGGGGAGGGAGGAACCAACGTCTCACTCGATCGGTCTCACTATCGATATCACTATCGATCTCACTATCGTTCTCGCTCGATCGATCTCACTCGATCGATCTCACAATCGATCTCACTCGATCTATTTCATTCGATCGATCTCGTAAACGATCTGACTATCGATTTCACAATCGATCTCACTATCGATCTCACTATCGATCTCACAATCGATCTCACATTCGGTCTCACTATCGATCCCACTACCGATATCACAATCGATCTCACAATCAACGTCATCATCATCAACATCAACATCATCATCATCGTCATCATCGTCATCAACAACATCATCATCATCATCATCATCAGCAACATCATCATGTTCATCGGGGCACCATCCCTGTCATCATCACCTCATCACCATCATCAACATCATCATCCCCATCATCATCATCATCATCATCATCAGGATACCACCATCGTCACCATCATCATTATCATCATCGCCCTCATTAACAACGTCATCATCATCGGGACACCATCAGCATCATTATCGGAACACCACCATCATCATCATCATCATCATCATCATCATCCCATCATCATCATCATGAACAGCATCATCAACATCATCATCGGGACACCCTCATCATCATCAGCAGTACCATCATCATCAACATCATCATCATCATCGGGACACCATCATCGTCACCATCATCACCATCATCATCATCGGACACCATCATCACCAATATCAGCATCATCATCAGCATCATCCGGCCACCATCATCAAAATCATCATCATCACCTCATCATCATCCTCATCATCAATATCATCATCACCGGGACACCATCATCGTCATCATCATTACCGGGACACCATCATCATCACCATCATCATCAATTGCATCATCATCAAGCTCTTCCTCATCATCATCATCATCATCATCATCATCATCATCATTATCATCATCATCACCGGGGCACCCTCATCATCATCTCCATCATCATCATACCATCATCTCTTCATTATCAACATCATCAGGATCATCAACGTCATCATCATCATCATCGGGACAGCATCATTATCAGCAACATTATCGTCATCAACATCATCATCATCATCATCAACATCATCAACATCATCATCATCATCATTGTGTCACCATCATCACCACCACCATCACCATCATTATCATCATCAACGTCGTCAGCAGATCAGCATCATCGGACACCATCATCATCACCACCAGCACCATCACCATCACCATCACCATCACCATCACCATCATCATCATCATCATCATCATCATCATCATCATCATCATCATCATCATCGGGACACCGATTGGTCACCGGCGGGACACCGCGGGCCACCGGACGCCGGTCCAGAATCATTTGGTCCGGCCGCGCCTCAGCCGGAGGCGCGACACCGGCGGGACACCGCGGGCCACGGGACGCCGGTCCGGAATCATTGGGTCTGGCCGCGCCTCAGTTACAGGAAACTTTCTTCTCGCCCGCCCACGCAACTTCGCCTCGCCCGCACGCACGGCACGCACGAACACGAAACCGAAATCGATTTCCCGGTAGGGGGGCTCTCGTTCCACTTCGATCTCACCCCCTCACCTCCGATGTCATTGCTTGCTCCCCGGAACAGGGGGGGTGGCATCCCTGAGATCCTGGAGTGTTTATTTTTTGCGACGAACGGCTGCGTTGCCTTGCTTCGGGCCCCCATACCCTCACGGATCGATCTGGCTCGAACATGTTGCAAAGAGATGAGGCCTTTTGTAGAGTCGAGTTCGATTAGTAGGTCGACCCTGCCCAAACAAGGGTACCCTTGTGTCCTGTGGTTCGCGACCCATGCCAAACAGGGGAGGGTGCCCAATGTCAATCCAAGATCCGCGCGGATCTCGGACAGTTTATTTATGAAGTTTTCTCGCCTCCAGTGGATAACGTAGCCGATTGTGTTGAAGGAGCGGCGAGTTGGCATGTTTTGTTGTTCATCCTCGCGTTCCTCGCGATACTCGTCCTCCTCTTCCCCTTCGCCTCGGCCGCAAGCTCCCCGCACACGGATCCGGCAAGGCCTTAAATCATTGCTCTTTGCGCGGGACGTTGTATGTTGAAAGATGTCTGGGGTTTGTTTGATGATACGGTCCCGCCTGTGCATACCCCCATATTCGAGGAGGAGAAGGAGAAGGATTTGGTCTCATCGGTAGCCGTGTGGAGCTCAAGGGTTCCCATGTGCTTTCGTTAGTCACTAACGCAGCCTGTCCGCAGAAGGTATCTATACACCACGGTGCCTGGCTCCTCCTCCTCCTCCTCCTCCTCCTCCCTCCTCCTCCCTCCTCCTCCCTCCTCCTCCCTCTTGCTCCCTCCTCCTCCCTCCTCCTCCCTCCTCCTCCCTCCTCCTCCCTCCTCGCTAGGGTCTTGCTGGGCCCTGGAATGGTACATAGACCCTCCCGGCCACGGCAACAGGGCGTGCACACCGCGCCACGGCCCACGATGGCCCTTGACAGGCATGCCACCTCCTCCTCCTCCTCCTCCTCCTCCTCCTCCTCCTCCTCAGTGTTGGTGTACACGTGCCTTCTGCGTGGTCTTCTCGCGCGACTGGCATGGCCGCGCTCAAGCTCATGCTCCTGCTGCTGGTGGCGCCCCCCCTCGTCGCGCAGGCCGCCTCCCTGCGGTCGACCACGAGGGTGGCCGCGAATCCGGTGCGCAAGGTGGTCTCGATGCTGCAGTCGATGCAGAAAAAGGTGGAGGCCGAAGGCGAGAAGGATCCGGGGCGCCAAAACTATACAGGCACACCGATCGTGGCCGGGCCGATCCTGGGCTGCCGATCAGTGTGTACTCTTTCCTGGCCAAGGCACGAGGGCGTATATACACCGATCCCAGGTCGATCATGGGCCTGGCCAGGATCGGCGTGAGTACATAGTTGGCCCCCTCAAGGAGGAAGAGCTGTACAAGAAATTCTCATGCTATTGTAAGACTGGGGTCGCAGATCTCTCTGCAAGCATCTCCGGCGCGGGCACCAAAGGCACCCAGCTTGGCTCCGATATTAAAGCAGCACAAGAAGAGCTCGTCCAGGTGAAGCAGGGTCTGAAGGACGCATCAGAAACTCCTTGCAGAATTGGAGTCGGGGTGCTCTACGAAGGACAAGGAGTACGAGGAACGCGTTAAGACGCGCACCGACGAGCTCGCCGCCCTCACTGAGACCATCAAGATTCTCAACGACGACGACGCGCTCGAGCTCTTCAATCCCAAGGGATTCGCCCTACACCGCCGCTGACACCCCGGGATGGATTCGCTGCTTGGAGGGACCCGGGTGGGTTAACTGCTGGAGCTTCCCGGGGTAATCTTGGTGATTGCCTGACAGTGCTACGTCACGGAGTGGTGGCAACGATGTTGTTTGCGATGATGATGCCAATGGTGTTGGTGATAAAGTTGATGAGGAAGTGCCCGCACACAACATTCAGATGAGGGCGACGGCGTTGACGATGACAGTGTTGACGGCGGCCGCGATGATGACGATGACGGTGATGATGATGGTGATGCCGAGACGTTGACGATGGAGGTGACGATTGTGCTGAGGATGCTGGTGCTGAACACGGTGGTGACGATCTTGATAATGATAAGGACCGGATAAGGATGATGATGCTGATGACGATGACGATGTTGATGCTCAGCATTATGATGACGACGATGCTGATTATACTGATGATTATGCTGATGATGGTGATGAATATGATGAGGCTGATGATGATGATGATGATGATGATGACCATGGCGATGGTGATGGTGGTTATGATGTTGATGATGCTGCTGCTGATGATGGTGATGATGAGTATGATCGGTATGCTGATGCTGATTTTGTTGACGATGCTGTTGATGCTGACGATGCTGATGCTTATTATGCTGATGATGCTGATGATAAGTATGATGGTGCTGGTGATGTTGCTGCCGATGACGATGGCGATGTTGATGCGGATGATGATGATTATGATGCTTATGCCGATGATAATGATGATGATGATGTTGATGTTGATGTTGATGCTGATGATGATGATGATGATGATGCTGATGATGATGATACTGATGATGATGATGATGATGATGATGATACTGATGATGAGTATGCTTATGGTGCTGATGCTGATGTTGTTGTTGATGATGACGGTGATGACGATGCTGCTGCTGCTGCTGCTGATGATGATGATGATGATGATGATGATGATGCTGATGATGATGATGATGATGATGATGTTGGCGATGGTGCTGATGATGATACTGATGCTTGTGATGATGACGAGGCGGAGGGAAGTGCACACACGCCTGCTTATTGTCTGAAACCCAGACCTGTTTTCATTGATCTCTGTTGGGCTTTTGTACGTGCTAGAACCTATATCTGCTGAACGTGGTTCAGGACCAATGGTTTTGGAGGGGTTTCAACGCGCGCGCGCAGACGCGCGAATGTGGCTCGCATGGTACTATTTGGCAGAGTTGGCGGGCGCGCGCGCGCGCGATGGTGGTTGACCGTTTTCGACATGCGCGCGCGCAAGTGGCCCTCATGGGACACCTAACTGCTTCAATCCCCCTTGGCTGCCATCTTGCAGGGCACATGCATGTACACCCGCTGTTTGATGGGAGGATCTGATCGGGTGTGCCCGGTAGTCACCACAGTCGCAGTCCGTCAACTGTCAACCTCGCCGATGCTGGCCGGGGTGATCCTGAACCCAGGATCGGTGTGCTTCTCTGCCTCCCTGGCCTGGTGCGGACGGCGTGCGCACCGATCCCAGGTTCAGGATGGGTCCGACCAGGACTGGTGGGATGGACCCTGGGCGTCTCCCGACGCGGGGACGGCGGAGAAGACTCTCCCAGCGCCCGGCGCGAGCTTGGTGCAGGTCGCTCGGGGGCTTTGAGACGGGGGTCCGCGCAAGCGGGGGTCCGTCAGAGCGCCAGCCATTGCAGGATCCTGCAGAGCCAGGGGTGCACTGACCCGGGCTTGGGTGCAGGATCTTGCAGGATCCTGCAGGATCCTGCAAGGCCCGACTGACCCGGGTTTTTTGCCTGACCTGGTCGGTGGCCGCGTGCGAACCCTACCCCCGCCCCCCACGATTTCTAAATGTGGGGCGGGGGAGTCACATCGTTCGGGAGCTCCCGAACGGAGTGAACCCCCCGGCCCCCTTAGAAATCGCTGTGGGCGGGGGTACGTTCACGTGTGGCCACCTGCCTGGGTCAGGGGTCCCCGATGAGGTCGGTGTCACGTCCGCCAGCCAGCGCGCGCGCGCCGTGGCCCTGGTGCAGCAGGCTCAGGCGAAGAGCGGGGCGGACCACGCCCGCCTCGGCTTCCTGGTGTTGGCGCTTCGCGGCCAGAAGGTCGTCGTGGGCGAAGCAAGCATCGAGAAGAAAAGAACCCCTGACCCTGATAACACAGGGAAGACGTGGCCTCATTGAGGTCCCCGTCTCTCCATTAGGGACATTACATCTGGGCGGTTTGGTTCGAAAGACCTCCTGTCCCTAATGCTTTTGGCTCTCCTAACTGAGGTCCCCTCCCAGGGTCAGGGGTCCTGAGTATTTTGGTTGCTCAAAAACATATCCGTATCCTCAGCCTCGAGGGCCCGGTCCCTGGGGCCGCGACCCCGGGATGTGGGGCGCTGTTTCGCAGATGCCCCCCCGCGCGTAGCGTATCCGTGCGACCGCGCACCCGCGGGATCGCTCCCAAGAGTCCAGACCACGAGGGCGAGGATCTGTACACGTGCTCGCTGCCCGTGAGGTCGGGTTCGAGAGGGTCATCAAGATGATCGACGAGATGGTCATCCGCAGGGGGCCTTTGCACACCACCGTGCCTGGCCAGGGCCATCCTGGGCCCGAGGACGGCATGCAGACCCTCGCGGCCTCGGCCAGGAGGGCGTATGTACCATGCCATGGCCTAGGGTGAAGGCGGGCGTGTCCCTCCACAGGGGATTATTTAAAAACAGGCAAAACATAGTATGGGGACGATGTTTTAACTATTCTTGATTTTGTTCATCCAAAATCCGCCTGTAAGGGGACATGCCCGACCAAAACCTGCGTTGTCCCTGGCCAGGCATGGTTCGGCGGCGAAATCCGAACACCCGACCCTCGCCGATCCATGGTTCAGGCAACTCGATGGGCGGCGGGACTGGGGTTCGGAATTCGGCGATGACGTGGCGGAATGCGAACCCTACCCCCGCCTCCCATCGATTCAAGAGAATCGATGGTTGGTGGGGGTGGGTTCGGACTTCCGCCACATAATGGTGGTGTTGTCTGCGCAGGTCACGCTGCTCAAGAAGGAGCAGACAGATGACGCGCAGAAGAAAGAGTACTGCGGCGCGCAGTTCGATTCCACAGACGACAAGAAGAAGTCGCTGACGCGCGAGGTGTCGGACCTGGCGACCGCCATCGCGAGCGCGGAGGAGAGCATCAGCACCGCTGCGGAGGACATCTCAGCGCTGGAGGCTGGCATTGCGGCGCTGGACAAGAGCGTCGCAGAGGCGACGGCGTTGCGGAAGGGCGAGCACGAGGAGTACAAGGCGCTGATGGCTGCAGACGGGGCCGCGAAGGAGTTGCTCTTGTTCGCCAAGAACAGGCTCAACCAGTTTTACAATCAGTTGTGCTGTCGCGCGTATCCGCCCCCGCGCTGGGAACTAATGGAGGGCCCACAGGGCTTGTGGGCTTTGGGGGGGAGGATCCCTGGGGCTCTCCAGCAGCAGGGCCCTCTCCGATTCGATCGATCCGATTTGGTACGGAGTTTGCTCGGCTCGATCCGGTTCGATGGTTTGTTTTGTGGGAGATCCGATACGGCCAGATGTTGGCACGGCGTAGTTGTGTAGCTCGGTGCCGCCGATCCGATGCGATTTCGATTGTGCCGAGGCACCCCGATCCGACACAAGCTCCGATTCGAAACAGCTCACCGATTCGATGCCGAGTGCTCTTGCTGGCCCGCGCGTCGCCAGGAGGGCGAAAAGCGCCAGGGGGGGCGTGCAGCAGCAGTGGGATCCATGTTGGGCTCGATGCGCCAAATGGTGCCTACGTCGTCACTGTTCCGCAGGACGTGGAGCTGACCGAACAGGCAAGGTGGGGCCGACGCGCACCAGCCGCCACAGCGCGGTCGCGGACCCCAAGCTCTACAACCCGCCGGCAAAGGTCGAGCTGTCCGCCCAGGGCGCCATCGAGCGCGACATGACCAGCGCGGCGGCGCTGGTTCAGCTGTCCGAGCACTCGCACCGCACCGTCGCTGCCGCACCGCCGCCGGAGACCTGGAGCGCATACGCGAAGAAGACGGAAGAGAGCGGCGGCGTCATTGCCATGCTCGATTTGCTGGTCTCAGATCTCGACCGCGAGATGACCGAGGCCGAGACGGAGGAGAAGGACTCGCAGGCGGACTACGACAAGACAATCGCGGACGCGAAGGACAAGCGGATGACGGACTCCAAGGCGCTCACGTCGAAGGCCGCCGCGAAGGCCGACTTGGAGAGCGACTTGCAGGCGGCCAAGGACGACAAGGCCAGCACCGCCAAGGAGCTCATGGTGACGGACAAGTACCTCTCCCAACTCCATGCCGAGTGCGACTGGCTGATCCAGTACTACGATGCAAGAGAGCAGGCGCGCAGTGGGGAGATCGACGCGCTTGGCAAGGCCAAGGCCGTGCTGAGCGGCGCCGACTACTCGCTGCTATGAGTGGGCCGCCGCTTCAGTAGCTTGCACCACGGTGATGGGCGCTGTGCCGTCGAGGGAGATGAGGAGGGGCAGGGTAGGGGGAGGGACCGGGTGAGAGGGCAGGGTGAAGGAGGGGGAGGAAGACGAGGAGAACACATGAGAGCATGGAGAGGAGTTCAGAGGGGGGGGAAGAAGGGGGAGTGCATGGCTGGGGGATGGGCTCTGCGCTTGTCGTCAGTCGTGTCTCTTGTCTAGTGGCCCTCGGCCCATTCTGAGTGGAGATTTGCATGAAGCTTTCAAGAGGAATTCCCAAAGTAGTGCTTGCACTTGTGCTCGAAGGAACTGGTCCTGGCCGCCGGTCTGGTGGCTATGTGGTTGCCGTCGCCGCCCTGTTGCCGCCTCGTCGCCGCCCGTCGTCTGGGCCTGGGCGTCGGTCTGGCGGCGATGTGCCCGCCGTCGCCGCGTCGCCGCTTTGCATTGCCGTGTTTTCCTTTGGCGTTGCAATCCCACTGTGTCGCATCGCGTCGCTTTGCTCTGCATTGCATTGCATTGCTTCGCGTTGCTTTGCGTTGCTTCGGATTGATTTGTGTCGCATCGCACCGTGTTCTTTTTTCTTTGCGCTCCTTTGCACTGCTTCGCTGTGTATTGTTTCGTGATGCGTAACGTTAGGTTATGTTGCTGTGCCCTGCCTTGCGCTGCTTCGCATGTTGATGCCTTGCAACCGCATTGCTTTGCATTCATTTGCAGCGTTTCGCATTGCAATCGCATTGCATATATTCGCTTTGTAAATGCTCAACGATGCTTCACATAGCTTAACATTGCAATCGCAATGCGCTGCGCTGCTTTGCATATATTGCACCGCGGTCGATTGCACCACATCGATTGCACCACATCGATTGCACCACACATGTCGCGCAACATATATTGCACCACGCGGATTGCAGCACGCCGCGTGCACCACATTTCTTGCGCACCGCATAGATTGCACCACATGTACGTACTATATATGTATATATATGGACAGCCCCCCCCCAGCACCCACTCTACGCCTTCTCCCTCTTCCACGAAGCTGGAGACGCATCCTCTTCTCATCATCCCTGCTCCTTTCCGCTCCTCTTCCCGAGTCACGTGTTGCAAGCGGAAGTATTTTTCTAACGCAACCTCAGAAGATGCAAGCGTCCGCTTCCCCCGCTTTTGGGAGAACAGGTATAAGATATCAGCGGCAGCGCTAACAAAAACGATGAGCGAACCATATGAGTTCTCAGGCATTCCAGGGATGCACAGGGATGCTAAGTGACGATCGCTGTGCAGGCTCAGGGATCCCAGGGATCCCAGGGATGCGAAGTCACGATCCCTGAGCAGGCTCAGGGACCC